TAAACATCTTCTGTTTATAACTTTTGGTTTAATCAATATTTTTTGACGCTCGAGGGCTAATTTTGTAGGTCTTTTGAACACGAAAAAAAAGTACTTTACTGTTTTCTCGTGGAAATGAACGGAAAAAAGTTATAAACGAAAAACGTGAATTTACGTAAAAATTATACAATTAACCACCCTGTAAACAATCTTCCCCCATTTTTATGACTGTGGAAACTAATATGTTATTGTACATAATATTTAGCATCTATAGTGATAAATTCAGCTTGCCGAAACAAAAANAGATAGGTACCTAATGTAATGTAAGTCTAATAAGACTCGAGGCGTTTCAAATTTTTCGTACATGTTGCAAGTTTGTATTATATCTACAACAGAACACAAATACCACAGTTAAAAATAAACTTGATGCTTTGTAGTAAAATATTTATTTTATAATGCATATAAGAATAAAATTTGTTATACCTACATGAATTTCAGTAATACATGTTTGGGAAATAAATTAAAATATATAATAAAAATAAAACAAAAATCAACACCACTAAGTTTACAGTCTTGCAAAATGTTCGTGTATTAACAAGTCTCTCACTTGCCGTCCATCGTTATTTTCCACATTTCTTTCTTCGGGTTCTACATTTTCATCATTTAAATCTTCTAGCCAATCATTTGGTATTTCCTCGCCCATGTCCAGTGCCAAGTTATGTAGGACCGCAGTAGCAACAATTATTGCTCTGACTGTATCGAGCTTGACTCGCATTCCTAATAGACGTGTAGGAAATCTGCGTTTCCATACACCATACTGCCTTTCAACCACATTACCTGTTCTTATTAGTGACTCGTTATATAAATTTTGTGCTGCTGTTTCAACAGTTCGAAGTTTAGTCATAAGATATGGTTTGTTTTATGGAATAGCCACTGGCTCCTATTAATAAATATTGACCATATATACTTATATTATTTTCAAAATCTCTCTTCAAAACACTGTTGTTAAAAACTGTTTGATCATGTGCAGAACCTGGTCATCTACACACAATATCCCTGATTCGTAGTTCAGCATCGGAGACTGTCTGTACATTTAATGCAAAATAGCCCTTCGTGCATCGAAAGATTTCTGCATCGTCTCCCACAGAATCCATCTTAATCAGACTACAGTCAATAGCCTCAACACGTCTTGGAATTTGAGCAATTCTATAGAATTTTTTGACTTCACTTTCCATTTCTGCAACAGTATCATACATTTTGAACGTATTATGGTCTTAATGAAGCAATAGCATATGAGACTCTTTGCACTATTCTACTAGCCAAACTTTTTGACATACCCATGAATTTTTTTCCTGCAGAAATCAATATGCTATCAGTTGCATAAAAACGTAACAATAGTTGCACTTTTGGTTCTATGCATCCACCTCTAAAATTTATAAAAATAAATAATTTCAGAAAATCCTGAAAGGTTATATATAATATACCTGTTCGTTGGTAAAGCAATTATGTCTTCAATTTTATGTAACAAATTTTCTACAGTATTCTTTGTTAATCTGAATCGATCAAAGAAATCTAATTCATCATACATTTCAAAACAAGGACGTCGTTTTCTATATAATTTTTGTCTCCGCACAAATATTTCTTCATCTTCTGAATAACTAGAGCTTGATGGTGAGAAATACATTCTTAACTTTTTTTTATCTCAAATAACTACAACCACGTATAATGTATGCTACAACTACACAAATGGTTATCAGGTTATCAAAATATTAGGTGAGGTTGTACTTAAAATCACATTACTGGCGCTAAAGTCTCGAAACGGCGCTTTAACTTGACTTTAAATTGATTATGAAACCGGCCGTTAAAGCAGGTAAGTGAAAAAACTAGACCAGCGAATACTAAACGTTTCTCTTATATGTACACAAATTATAAGTGTACAAATTATACTAATATCAATATATTCTATATTAGAAAGGCAAGCAGGCAAAGCCAAGCACAAATGTGAAGTACAAGATAGGCAAAACAGCAGCAGTAAATGTTTAAATTAGTAAAGCAATTAAGCAGTAAAACACTAAGCAGGCAAAACTTAAATATAGCTTATCTGTTTGTGGAAGTTTCTGGTTCCACTAGGATGGTACGGCAAGGTCCCACTGGTGCCTCTTTACTTTGGTAGAGCTTTGGTCCTCATATACAGTGTGTCTAATTCTGTAACGTACGTGCCACGCGGTATTGCAGAGTGAACATGCCAGGAAGAAGAGGTAGAATCGAAGGAGTTCAAGCAGCAAGCCAGAGACAAGCAGAGGAGATATATAAGGGTTTCCGGTGGCTTGTAAGCCAATACCTTAGTGAAGATGATCGGAACACTTGGATCGGAATATGTCACTATCTTTCTTTTGGCCTGAAAATAAAGAAGCGAGCAACAAAAAGCTCCTAGTCTACTTAGGGAAAAAGACATGCGTCTTACCTTGGTTGGTGCGTGGCCAATGAATGGAAATATTGCAAAATTCAAGCAGGGCTTAAATTCAGTAAAACTACTGAAATTTTGTCAGTAAATCCTCAATTAAGACAAAAAAAAACGAGCCCAAAACTTCCAGAAATCTGCTAAGTGGTAGTGGACTTGCAATCAAGCACATGTACAGGANAATAAACAATACATTCATCAAACCACGTAGTTCTTTTAAATAATGACAACTTCAAAGTTTTGTTTTTCGAAATCTGTAAATACTTAATTTATAATAGATAGTAACATCTTTAAAAAAGTTGAAGTTGTCCTCACGAAAGTGTTGCCCTCACTAATACCGTTAAAAAACGTGGAAAAACGTGGAAATAATTAGTGAAAAAACCTGTGAAATTGAATTAAAGTACTCAGTGATCATTCCAGAATCAAATTATTTGCAAAATATATGAAGAAGTGCAGTTAAATAGGAATAGAAGTTATTTGAAATAAAATCTATACCAATAACAAAAAACGTATGTAAATAGAATCGAACAGAGTTATCTTATCAGTGAACACAAAAGAAATACAAACCTAAAGGAGTCCATACACTGGAATACTAAAAATGCAAGAATCTGGCGAAAATGTAACGCTTAAAGGTATTTATGAAGAGATAGTAAAAATTAAAACTGATCTGAAGAATATTGTTGAAGCCAGTGAAACTCGAGTTATTTTTAAAATTGAATCTTTAAATAACAAATTGAATAATCTTGAAAAAGAAAATTTAGAATTAAAAGACAAACTGGAATCCTTAGAGAGACAAAACAAAAAGAATAATATTATAATATTTGGGCTGAATAAACCATCTCATGATATATCAGTAGAATATATATGTACTGAACTAAGAAGGCTATTAGAAATTGAGATAGCTGATACTGATATAAATGATATTTATCCATTGGGAAAAGGTAAAAATAAACCAATAAAAGTAGAACTGCTGTCATATCTGAAAAAAAGATATATCATCCAAAACTGTTATAAACTAAAAGGAACAAATATATCCATAGCTCAAGATTTAACCGATATCCAGAGAAATGAAACTAAAATATTAAGAAAACATTTGTTCGAAGCAAGAAGAAATAAGGAAAATGAATGCTATATTAAAGGAAATAAGTTGTTCATAAACAACAAATCATATACTGCTCACCAGTTGGAAACAGAAGAAGTGTTTGAGCAGCAAAGTGTTAGTGCCCCAGCTACGCCCTGTTTACATAATCGTCACAATGGACAGGAGACTGAAGAGGAATTTGAATTCCGCGCAAAGGAAAGGCAACTTCAGAAAACTGCATTAGAGGAAAATAATACCAACAAGGCGCAGGACATCGAAGAAAAAGGAGACACAGAAAGTTCACCAGCACATGCTACAAANCCCCTCGATCCCAAATCATTGAGGCCAATTTCTAGCCATAGAATAATGGCGCGGTTGTTTTTGCAGGAAATAATAAATAACTACAAGTAGGAACTGGAAGAATACCTTATAAAAATAATAAGTTTACATAAATAACGAAAGTAATAACTACTGGTCACTATATATTATGACCTTCAACATTGTAGTCTAATCTTCGGCGCCGCTGCTGTTGTCGTCATTGTCGATTTCGATATTATCCTCTTGACTGGGACTAGAACTCGTACCTGGTTGTTCAAAATTTGACTTTATGTTTAGATAGTACTGAACATTTTCAGGGGTTTTCAAACACCTAGCTAGATTTCTTAGGAATACTAGTTTTTGGAGTTTTATTTGAATTTCCTCGTGATACAAAGGCGCCAGAGTCACTGGGCAGTTTCTTTTTATTTCGCAGTTATATAGTATCCCAGCTCCCCGTGTAAGAATGCTTTGTTTGAATGTAGTCCATATTGGCAGATATTTTAATGACTCTAACTTGTTTTATTTTCATCAGTGGCTTTGGATTTGGCATGAAATATGGCTTTAAGGCTTGAGCTATATTAAAAAAGTTTTCCTGCTTGATTTTAACCAAATTAAAAGGAGAAGGCTTTTCTCTAGCTGCGAGTACTAANACCTCAACTCAACAATGTGGGTTTACATAACCTGAAAACGGAGTAATAATAAATCTGTAGTTGCTTAGAACTAAAAAAAAAACTAAATTTTTTAAAGTGGACACAGGAATGAATAAGGTAGTACGATACATCTTTGTTTACGTTGGCTAACGGTATTAATTTTAAATCTTTCTCGTTTCAGGGCAACTGGGGCTGATAAAAATGTAAAATAATACTAACCTAATAAAAATTAAGCCCGTAACACATTACTTTACAACGCAACAAAATTGTAATCGAAACCTTTTATATCATATTCAAGTAATACCTTATTAAAAATGGCATTGTAGAATTTCCGTCAATTTCCTTAAAAAAAATTAAATGACATGTTACAGACGTTGGTTGTTTTTGCAGGAAATAAAAAATACCTACAAGTAGGAACTGGAACAATACTTTATAAAAAATAATAAGTTTACATAAAAAACGAAAGTAATAACTACTGGTCACTATATATTATGACCTTCAACAGTGTAGTCTAATCTTCGGCGCCGCTGCTGTTGTCGTCATTGTCGATTTCGATATTATCCTCTTGACTGGGAACAGAACTCGTACCTGGTTGTTCAAAATTTGACTGTATGTTTAGATAGTACTGAACATTTTCAGGGGTTTTCAAACACCTAGCTAGATTTCTTAGGAATCCTAGTTTTTGGGGTATTATTTGAATTTCCTCGTGATACAAAGGCGTCAGAGTCACTGGGCAGTTTCTTTTTATTTCGCAGGTATATAGTATCCCAAGGCCCCGTGTAAGAATGCTTTGTTTGAATATAGTCCATATTGGCAGATATTTTAATGACTCTAACTTGTTTTATTTTCATCAGTGGCTTTGGATTTGGCATGAAATATGGCTTTAAGGCTTGAGCTATATTAAAAAAGTTTTCCAAATTAAAAGGAGAAGGCTTTTCTCTAGCTGCGAGTACTAAGCAGTCCCAGTCCGACTGAACTTCTGCCATATTTTTTCATTTCTTGGCAATCAAACTGAAGTCTTGATCGTTTGGTAATCGAGAATGTCCTCGTATTGGAAAATAGTATGCGAACTATGCATAAAGAGATCTAACCATTAAGTAATTTTTGTTTTGTCCTGGGCACCCGTCACTAAACAGAACTGGATCTTCTTTGGATATATCTACACTGAAAATAATCTAATAGCAACGATGTCGATATCATTTTAGCCCTTTTTCCTAACGGTTTCGTCATAGACATCATACTCGCATCATTTGTGGCTAGATACAATCCAAATACATAATACCAAAGTTGGCTTGCAAAAAAATGCTTGTATTTCGAATCCAAGCTAGAAACGAACCTTTGCCTGGTAGGTAGATGAATGCAAAGCCGATACACCCGGTGCGTTCAAGTAGTTTTCTACCTCATTATAATTCGCTTGATTTTCTACGTTAATGCGAATTAATGCCAGATCTACACTTTAAATAAGTATTTATAAAGGTATTTACCTACGACCGCTACTGTAAATACTTAAAAGCACACCGTCTGCGATCAATGTAAGATTCCTATTACGTACGGTAAAAAAATCGCACAGTTTTCCTAGCAACCGCCTAGCAACGGTCAATACAATACTGTTTGTATTGACCGTTGCTAGGCGGTTGCTAGGAAAACTGTACGATTTTTTTACCAAGCTGTGCGATTTTTTTACCGTACGACGTAATAGGAATCTTGCATTGATCGCAGACGGTGTGTTTTTAAGTATTTAAAGTAGTGGTCGTAGGTAAAGTATAGTACGTAATACGTGGTGTAATGCAATTACGCACTCATAGAATTACGCACTCGCCGCTACGCGGCGTCGTGCGTAACTTTTCCATTCGTGCGTAAAATGCTTTTTACAGCACTTATTACGTAATATACTATTACGCATTGGGTAGTAGCGCAAGCCTCTATATTAATATGACATTTATACCTTAGTAGGATATAGGGATTGTAAGGAACTATCCAACGATTGTATAAAATACAATTTCTGTTATTAGCTCTGATCGTTAAAGTTCTGCCGTTGTTTGGCCTTTTATAAATGACTTGCTCCTTTTCAGATATTACTATAAATTCACTTAATTCTTTAGGATATTTTTTAGAACATTGGCCATTCGTAGAAATGTCGTAGAAACTTGACTATAAATTCGCCGTATTCAGCGAGCTCTATAACCTGTCCAACATAGTGATTGATGTTTTTCTTTTGTCGCAAATTTCACCAAGACAAAATCATCGCAGGCGATCTCTACATAATCTGAAATAAAAGGATAAGAGTAATTTTAGGAACAACTATTCACAAATCAAAATCTTCTTTTACCTAATAGTTTGTTAAAGTCTTCAACATCTGATGGATCCATCTCAACATCAGAATCAGACGAATAAGTGTTAAATTTAATTATTTTTAATTCTTGCTCCAGATCTGATTCAGATGATGAAGAATGCATTTCTTTGGGTCTACATTTTCTAGGTTTCTTCTTAGCAATATTCATATCTCGTTTTATTTCCATTCCTTCATCCATAGATATCTTCTTTTTGGTTCCGGTGATTTTAACCTTCGTTTTGCGGTTTGCTTCCATCTCTTCAACTCTGGTCTTCTCAGAAGTGCTGGTATAAATTCTCGATTTTCCCAACATCGATTTTCTGTTAGTTTTTCGCGCTCCCGCCTTGGGAAACGGTTTAATACCTGCAGGTTTAACGGAAATATTTGAAAGTATGATTATCGATAGTTGTGTAACTTTATCAACAATTTCGGTGAGTAAAGAGCGCATCATCAAAGTGATTTCTTCTGTGTCATCGTTTTTAAGTGAAGAAATTGAAGTTTTTGCTGATGTTGGATTGATAACATCAGGTGCAATCATGCTAATTTGCGACGATGTACTGGGAGTGTCGTATACTGACAAAGATATGGTAGTTTCTTGATTTTCTTTGTCCTGGGGAACTGGACGATCTGTGGCGTATGCTCCAAAAAACTCGTCGTCGGTAAAAATAAGTCTATTTATGGGCCAGAGTCCAGTAGAAGAAAATGCGTTTACTATATTCTTTGGGGTAATGCTCTGTAAAAAAGGTTCAGCCGTTAATTTTGCAACCTCATATATAGTTATCTGTTTTCCAGGAATGCTAAGGAGGTGATTATTGAATGACACCTTGCACCTCTGCTTGAAAGGCCCATAGACCGCTTTGTCTAGGGGTTGCATGCTGTGGGTACAGTGAGGTGGGAAGGACAATAAAACGATACCATTATTTCTTGCGTAATTAATTGCATCCACTGACACATGTGTTTCATGGTTGTCAAGAAGTAAGAGGTTCGGGCTCTCTGCGCTGCTGTGGGTATGATATTTTATATGCTCTAACAGTTTTACAAATATTGTTGTTGTCATCCAACCAGACTTTGTGCCAAAGGCTACTGATCCAGGTGGTGCACCGTGTAAAAAATGTTCTTTTATTCGAACACGTGGAAAAATATATAATGGGGGAATTGTTTTACCCGTTGCCGATACGCATTGACCTACAACCCTTTTTCCTCTTTCAGCAATAACCTTAGGAGCTTGCATTACTGTAGACACGCCCGTCTCGTCGGTATTCCAGATACGTATCTGGTTATTACTTGGTTCGACGCTATATTTCCTTTGGACCTCTTCATAGTTATTGAAGAAAACGTCGACATTGTACTTGTTAAAAGCTGATGCCCTAGCAACGCTTGTGTTTTCCGGTTTACGTAAAGAAAGTCTCGGATGGCGATTCATAAAAGTCCTCATCTATTCAATACCAGCCATTTGATTTGTATGCCACTGCTGTGGAAATTTTTTCTGCAATTTTAGTGCATATTCATATGCTAACTTGCGAGTGGATAAATATGTTAAACCGTACAAAATTCTTGAACGTTGCTTGAGGTAAATCTCCAATTCAGTTTCCTCCTTTGTGGAAAAAACTTTCCGAGTTGCGTATTGTGATAAATCATCAAACGTTTCTTGGTCACTTTCGTTTCCAGAATCAGACNGATCGTTAAAGTTCTGCCGTTGTTTGGCCTTTTATAAATGACTTGCTCCTTTTCAGATATTACTATAAATTCACTTAATTCTTTAGGATATTTTTAGAACATTGGCCATTCACCATACTTTGGGCTCTGGATTTAATTCTCCACAAGGGCCGTGTACCATGAAAGAGGTTACTATTTCATATAATTCTGGTTCTAGTTGCGGATCTGGTATTTCTGTACTAGTGAGTGCATCAATTCTGCGAGGGTCTGTTAATTTATCTTGGTCTCTTAGAATAAGTAGATTATGACAATGGGGTAACCTCTTTTCTTGGAATTCTATAATGTAGAGGTTAGTTACATGTAGGGTAGTGTGGGGCAGGTCCGGACGGTTTTGGCTAATTCCCTTTAACAGCTAACTATAAACTTTATTTAAGCAAATAATTTAAACGATATATTCTTTTATGGCTTCGGTAACTATATGTTTTGATTAAGCAAAAAACTAACAACTTTTTTGTAAAAAAATAAATACAAAAAAGTAACATCTGTCCGCACCTACCCCACCCTGGGGAACATTCGGACAGGCGGTGGGGTAGATCCGGACAAATTGGAAAAAAGACAAAAAGAACTAATATAATTTATTTCAAAATTAATGAGTCAAGGTTTACATTAAATTTTAGGAAACCAGCCAAACGAGATATTTCTAGAACAGACAGCGGCTTTGGTAATTTAGATACTATATCATTTCTTGAAACTAGTGAAATGTCATCTACAAGAGGAAAATGGAACCGATTCTTTGAATGTCGTAGAAACTTGACTATAAATTCGCGGTATTCAGCGAGCCCTATAACCTGTCCAACATAGTGAATGATGTTTTTTTTGTCGGAAATTTCACCAAGACAAAATCATCGCAGGCGATCTCTACATCATCTGAAATAAAAGGATAAGAGTAATTTTAGGAACAAATATTCACAAATCAAAATCTTCTTTTACCTAATAGTTTGTTAAAGTCTTCAACATCTGATGGATCCATCTCAACATCAGAATCAGACGAATAAGTGTTAAATTTATTTCTTTTTAATTCTTGCTCCATATCTGATTCAGATGATGAAGAATGCATTTCTTTGGGTCTACATTTCCTAGGTTTCTTCTTAGCAATATTCATATCTCGTTTTATTTCCATTCCTTCNGCAATAGTCTCTCTTAGTTGTAGGGTAGTGTGGGGCAGGTCCGGACGGTTTTGGCTAATTCACTTTAACAGCTAACTATAAACTTTATTTAAGTAAATAATTTAAACGATATGTTCTTTTATGGCTTCGGTAACTATATTTATGTTTTGATTAAGCAAAAAACTAACAACTTTTTTGTAAAAAAATAAATACAAAAAAGTAACATCTGTCCGCACCTACCCCACCCTGGGGAACATTCGGACAGGCGGTGGGGTAGATCCGGACAAATTGGAAAAAAGACAAAAAGAACTAATATAATTTATTTCAAAATTAATGAGTCAAGGTTTACATTAAATTTTAGGAAACCAGCCAAACGAGATATTTCTAGAACAGACAGCGGCTTTGGTAATTTAGATACTATATCATTTCTTGAAACTAGTGAAATGTCATCTACAAGAGGAAAATGGAACCGATTCTTTGAATGTCGTAGAAACTTGACTATAAATTCGCGGTATTCAGCGAGCCCTATAACCTGTCCAACATAGTGAATGATGTTTTTTTTGTCGGAAATTTCACCAAGACAAAATCATCGCAGGCGATCTCTACATCATCTGAAATAAAAGGATAAGAGTAATTTTAGGAACAAATATTCACAAATCAAAATCTTCTTTTACCTAATAGTTTGTTAAAGTCTTCAACATCTGATGGATCCATCTCAACATCAGAATCAGACGAATAAGTGTTAAATTTATTTCTTTTTAATTCTTGCTCCATATCTGATTCAGATGATGAAGAATGCATTTCTTTGGGTCTACATTTCCTAGGTTTCTTCTTAGCAATATTCATATCTCGTTTTATTTCCATTCCTTCATCCATAGATATCTTCTTTTTGGTTCCGGTGATTTTAACCTTCGTTTTGCGGTTTGCTTCCATCTCTTCAACTCTGGTCTTCTCAGGAGTGCTGGTATAAATTCTCGATTTTCCCAACATTGATTTTCTGTTAGTTTTTCGCGCTCCCGCCTTGGGAAACGGTTTAATATTTGCAGGTTTAACGGAAATATTTGAAAGTATGATTATCGATAGTCGTGTAACCTTATCAACAATTTCGGTGAGTAAAGAGCGCATCATCAAAGTGATTT